AGACGTTATAATTATCGGTCAAACGATTCACATCATAGACATAAAGAGGAGTTCCTGTCGATAGAAATTTAAAATTATTTATTAAATATAATTCTGTAACAAATATTCATTCAAATTAATATTTCTTTCAAATAGAAAGTTCGGCATATGTTATAATCGATTGATTGGTGTTTGTATACAATATTTGTAATTACTATACAATTTATAAATATCGTTTTGATATAACACGGGTCCTACTGTATCGCAGTTCAATACACTCTACTTTACAATATACTAAATATTATACTAAAAACCATACAATTTTCAAAACCAGATAATTAGCTAAATGTGATGTTTCAAAGTACACAACTTTATTATAACAATAACACTTTAATTATGTTTCTAAATAAATAAACTTCACTTCAAATTCCTATAACTTTTTAAACGATATTTTACTATTTTTTACAATTTTAAATGAAGGTAAAAGGATAGATATGATAGTATGGGTGCAAAGTGTACATTAAAATTGCCGGATTGTCTATTAAAATTTAGCATTCACAAACATTTTGAAACCGATTAACAAGCTAGAAATTAGTTAAAATTTTCAATGCAAATATTTACCATATTTTTCCATCAATTCTTCGGCCGCCACTCCACCTAATCATTGGTTATAAATAAATAATTGAGAAATATATGCAAAATATACTGCATTTGAATACCAATCCTGAGCTGTTCCTCGTCGTCGTACGAGTAAATGGTTTTGCGTCCGCTGTGTATGAGATGGGGTCCGGCTTTCGAGTCCACATTCAATAGGGTTCCGGAGAAACGGCGCGTTGCATTTGAATACCAATCCTGAGCTGTTCCTCGTCGTCGTACGAGTAAATGGTTTTGCGTCCGCTGTGTATGAGATGGGGTCCGGCTTTCGAGTCCACATTCAATAGGGTTCCGGAGAAACGGCGCGACAATCGTCTGATTGAACCGATAAATCCGGTCTCGGCTTTCTTGTCCTCACTTTCACTCATTGTTCACTCAAATCAATGCCTTTTTGACAAATTCTATGAAAACACAAATAATTAAAAAATATTATTAATAAATACTAAAAGAATTGAAGAATCGATGAAAGAATTATTATGAATAAAGAGTCGGTGGAAATGAGTGCATACATGGGATAGAAGTGATAGTCTGGAAGGGATGGGAAGGCAACGCGTTTTCGCCGATTATTTAATGTTCACAAAACTTATCACCAAAACTGAGGGACATTTGAAATGATTACATGACTTAAACAGAAGTTAATTGTGAGATAAAGCAGAGAAAAAGTTAAGAGTGAGTACACAGTCGTGTTTAGAGGAATAGCGAAGTCAAGTGGTTTTACGTTAAGTATATATTAATAGTTGTGTACAACAAGTGAGACACAGAGATGAGGCGCTCAAGACATCAATACACTATAGTTTCAATTCATTTGTCAATAATATTATATTGACTAAACATTGCTATCAAATAACATGCATATAATTAATACTGCGTTAATAACAGTCATTACAATACCACTCATGCATTGAAACAAAACTTTTCTCTATTCATACAAACCTTTAGAACAAAAGTTTTTTAAATATAAAGCAATAGTTTTTTTAATTTAAAAAACAACAAAATAAGAGCAGATTTGTTCACAACTGCAGAGCATCTGCCAGTGCTATAGCCATAGTATGTATAGCCTGTAGAGCCTAATGAAGTGAATAGCCGTATATAACTAGTTAGATGTTAAATAGCCAACACAGCTCAGACAGAGAGAGCTCCGGCAACATTTGCCACACCCTTCTATGCGAGGATTTGTTCAATTTGTTGTCAACAACAGAGCCCTTGAATTTTTCAAATACAACTCTTCCACTCAAACCCACAGCTCTTTCAATAGTTTCAATACTTTTCAAACTTCTTATCGCAAAACAGTCTCGGCTTTAAACTTTTGTATTTATTTCTTTCAATTCAATGTTTTCTCATTTTTAGCTCGTCTTAGAAATAATAATTAATGCATAACTTGTTGTCAAAAACATCTCTATTTTGCAATGTTTTGCAGAATATAATTATTACATGATTTGAAGTTAAGGTTTAAAGTTCTGTTCAATTCTACTAAAATACTAGTAATATTCAGTTTTGTTTATTATAATCACATTATTTCTAATCGATAAGTAATATTAATATATTTGTCTCTATTATTCACATTTTGTTTAATCTGTTCACAAAACATACATTAAAACATAATTTGATGATAATATAGAAGTGTATTGGGATTGTGAAGCACCGAGATCATTATACTACTATAATGTTAACAAATAGCACTAATTGGTTAATAAGATTGACATATTTATCATAATCTGTTATCTATAATAAGCAATTACGTAATGATTGTTTATTTCTTATCGTATGATTGAATGCATAAATAATTAATCAATAAAATTACTTTAATTTTTAATAAAAATATAAATAAAAAATATATTAAATTAACTACAATTACAACTATATATTTATCAATATCTACAATATCTATGTTTTAAAAATAACTCTTGAAAAACTTGGAAACAATTTTCACCCAAAAGGGTATAACAGAAGAATCAATTCCTGTGTTGTCTATACGCGAAGAGTGTTTCCAAAGATAATCGCATTCGTCTTCAAGTCTTCGCTTCAGATCTGAGTCTTTAGTGATGACAACGACTTGTGCTTCACTGTCACGATATACGGAACGGTAACCAAAGTTTGGGGAACCGATCATTGATAGGAAGTGTTTCGAGTCTAACGACAACCACAAGCCTTTGCCGTGAAATGACCACTCGGGCCGTGAGAAGGCGTCCAGCGATACATTCGACGCATTCTTATTGATATCGTTTAGGAAACGATTGGCTAAAAGTGTGTACACGTGAGGAATATTAGCGGTCACTCCTTTGGCGCCGTAGAACCCATTGG